ATTATATATGTATATATAAATATTACATAAAAAAAGAGAACAAATATAATTCTATTTTGTATTTTATTAATATTATTTTTTATTTTATTTAAAATTTTAATACTAATTATACATTTCATAGCGTCTTTATGCATTTTTATATTTATTCCAAAATAATAACTAAAGGCAGTAACAATTTTAACAATATTCTGGAAACAGTTTACAATAAGGTTTCATTAGTTAACATTAGTTAACTACTTTAGTTAGTTTAGTTTCAACATTTACTAATGCATTATTAAAATCAAAAGTTGTGTTGGTTAACATTAGTTTATGCACTGTGAACTAACATTAACTAACAATGAACAACTGTATTTGTATTAACTAGGGATGCACCGATACCACTTTTTCCAGTACTCGCCCAATACCGATACTTTTATTTTTGGTACTTGCCGATACTGAGTACCGATACCGATATTTTTATTGCATTTGTACATTTTTTTAATATTGGGTACAGAAACCAAAAGAGTATGTATAATGTTAGTTGGTTAACTTCATTTATCAAATAGATACAGTCAAACCAAAATTTATTCAGGCACCTTCAACATTTCTCACATTATCACAGTTTATTCACTATAGTTTAGAAAATGGTAATAAAATATGACAAGAACTCAGAGTTACACTGTGTCAGAACAAATTCATCTTGATAATGTTAGATAATTTTCATAGAAAGGTATGTAATGGATTACAATTAACCAAAATAATTCAGACAGCTGTTAGTATGAGTTGGTGTTTCTTTGTTTGAATATGGCGCTTATCACCTGCTGTGTGGTATCGGCGTTTGGTATCGGGGCATTTTAACGAGTACGAGTACAGGAGACCAGTATCGGTGCATCCCTTGTATTAACTAATGTAAACAAAGATTAATAAATACTGTAATAAATGTTCATTGTTTGTTCATGTTAGTTACTCATTAAATGACACCTTATTGTAAAATGTTACCAATATTTTTTATTTGTGAACTGATGTTCAGCTGTTCTTTTAATAGTCAACTTATTTTCGGGTCATCATCATAAAAGCCCTGTAAACACTGCCACAGAGACGAAGATATATCTTTCATTTCATCACGCTGAATGCTCATTAAAAACTGACGCAGTCATCACGTTTTCAGACCATTTTAAGTTTTATTTTGATGTGACACAAAGTAGTGGTATCTAAGCGGGAAAGTTGTTTACTTACTTTATAATTAGTCAATAACGCCATCATTTTCTTCATTCAGGCCGGGAGGTTGCACGCAATCCATAACGCAATTAGTCTCCTCTGTGTCTCTCCGTATCACCATTTTGGAGAATATCCACTGAACGCAAGCAGCGTACGCACTTTTGTGTCAGCCGCAACACAAGGATACGTTTTCTACGTGTATTTAAGCTTAGATTTGAAAGAAAACAGCGCATCCGTGCAGCGCAGCTGACACAGAAGAGCATACGCTGCTTGCGTTCAGTGGTTCAGTACACATACATATACATATACATATACATATACATATACATATACATGCACATACATATATACAGTATATACATATACCGGTTAAATTAAAAAAATTTATTGATAATAAAAATAAGCTAATAAACTTAAAATGCAAGTCATAAGTAACTTCTTCAATTATCAGTCCCTCTCTAATGCAAACTTCAAATGAGAGAATGGAAACAGATGGACACAATGAACCACACTGTGCTTGGGTTCTGTATCTAATGGCGTTTCTCTGATTGTTACGACTTATAAAAAGGGAAGGGATTTCTATTTTTATGCTTTTGATGAGGTTTTTGATGACGATCCACCAGTGGTATAGTGTCTCTATCTGAAAGGTTATCTCACTCGGGTTCGAGTTCAGGTGGGATTTGTGGTCACTGCAACATAGCGGGTCTTTTACAGCAGTGGCTGAATCTGACCTTCGATGATGCTGGCTTTTACAGGAATAAAAGAATCCCACAACATAAAAGATGAGAGATCAAGACTGTTGATACAGTGAAGTGACTCTCCTCCTCCGTTCTGCTCCAGGGTCGGATTTCTCTGTAAAGCAATCTGATCAGAACTTGTAAAACAAGGGAATGTGCTAATGAGGATTCAGGAATGACCCGACAGAAAATGCTGGACAACTAAAATACAGAGGATAAACAAAGATTAATCATATCTCCCAAAATAATCAATGAGTTGCCAAAGAGATTTGGGAAAACCTTCAAACTGCTTTGAAACTCTAGGTGTTCTAGATGATAATATAAGCGTGATTCACAGATAACATTTACTTACACAGCTAAACAACTTTTAGCTTCTCAAAGACAACCGGATGATAGCGGAGGTCAAATGAAGCCGCATGAATAAACTTCCAATGCCTACAATTATTCTGCTAAAACAAGAGGCTTCTGTGCATCAGAAATGGGTTGCTTAGTATTCAAGAGACAAGCTGAATATTAATAACTGCTTCACAGGGGATTTTTGTGGACTCTTTCATTGTTGGAATTGCTTGAGGGTAGAAAGAAAAGCCTTTCAATTAAAAGTTGTTTAACACTCTTCATTAAAGGATTGGACCCAGATACAGTCTTCTCTCTTGCCTTAAATTGAGGTGCAGGATGTACTGAAGGACTTCCGATGCTTAACTAGCGGTAAACCCCTGCAGAATGTCTAATGAAATTACCTCACGATACAGAGGCAGAGAACCGATCGAACATCAAACAAAGCGTTATTTTTGTCTTAATTCGTTCACCAACTTTGTTTAGTCATTTCTGGACTGATCTGCATGCAGTATCGATTCCCTTTTTTCATGATTAATCAGATGCTGCTCTCAGTCCTTCTGTTTCCCTACTGGGTGCAGTTCTGCAGATGAAACCGTTCAGCACTTCTCATATTACTGAAGAGGTATTGACGATTATAAAAGCCACATAATTCCACCTCTAAAATCTAGTTGGATGAGTCACATACAAAGTAGAAAATAGCTGTCAATACTTTTTTCCCCATTAGAATTATATGCAAATTCTCTTTATAAATTATATAATAAATAATATAAAAACTGTTGAGAATTTTTTTAATGTTTTTGTAAGTCTCTCTGCTCACTAAGGCTGCATTTTTTTAATCAAAAATACATAAACAGCAATATTGTGAAATACAAATTAAAATAAGTTTTCCTTTTTTAATATATTTTACAATGTAATTTATGCACAAGATCCTTTAAAAAATAATTCTAATGTGCGGATTTGCTGCTCAATAACATTTCTTATTATCAGTGTTGAAAACTATTGTGCTGCTTCATATTTTTCAGAATTCTTGGATAAAGTTCAAAGAAAAGCATTCATTTGAAACAGGGCTGGGCGATTTTTCCGATTTTATCGATTAATTCGAATTTAATGTTTTGCCACAATTTTATTTTTCAGAAATCGAGGATTCGCAATTTTTAATAGAAATATTACCCAACGTCAGAATTAGACATTTTGACAATATGCCAATGATAAAAGTAAAGAGAAAAGAACGATCCAACTGAATGTCGGCGCACGTGATTAACCGCTCACGTGTGACATGCTCATATCGCTAGGTGCCATTCACACAGAATGCGCTTTTGTGTTGACAAAGATGCGACGCGGGCAGTGGAATAGGAAAAACATGCAAGAAGATGAGAGTGAACTTCTTTTAACTTGAGCGCAGTTTTTTTAGAATGTCGTTTCATGCATGAGACACTGCAAGAGACACGAGTGCAACAGTCAAACACGTCCATGTTTACATAGAAAAAAACTATGAAAAAGCAGCACAAGCTAATAAAAAAAACCTGTAAATACTAACGTTACTGTATGTCTGATGTTTCATGTTTGCATCATGGTGACAGGCTGTTGTTTTTATAGAACATATAGTTAATAATAGTCTACTGGTGTTATACCTTCAGTCATTTTGAATTTGAATTACCTTGACTTTTGAGATTTTTTTAATGCACTTTCCTCGTATTATTTCTCAACATATAATATGCGTAAGACAAGTTTGTTCAAGATGTAGTTGAATTTCCTGCATCTTTTCTGCAAAGATATTTAACAAGTCATTTGTTTAACATTTATCATGTTGACAACTTTATGTGTGGTGCACTTGGAATAGAATTTTCTTTAACTAGAGGGTTAATAAAGATACTTGAATCATGTTGTAGTTACATTTTCAAGTTGACTAGTTAAAAATCCTAAAAAAAAAATCGAGAATTGGTCAAATGTTCTGAAAAAAAATCAAGATTTTTTTTCGAGAGCCCTAATTTGAAATAAATATTTTGCTACACTATAAATATCCTGACTGCCTTTTTGTGTCCTCCTATTCTTTCTACTTATTATTTTGCATGTGAAATGTACAACAGTTCTGCTTTCTGCAAGTCTGCTCACACATTAGCTACGGTTTGTTATCGGGTCTAAATTGTTTTTAACTGCCTCATCCATCAATAACAGACACTTTTTGCATTACATTGTAACAGGAACACAAAACAATCAGCACTGGAACAAACCTCTAAAACGGGCAGAGACTTGAAAACACTGCATTTCTTCTAAAAGCTATGATTCCTCATAATATCACTCATTTAAGTCATGTAAACATGGTCATTACTGAGAAAAAAAAACATCTGGACTGAACTGTAATTCATGGAGTTAACAAACAAAGTTCAGGGACTTTAGTGCTAAAAAAATGGCAGAAAGCATGAGACAAGATCGTTTATGAAGCCTTGAGATGTTTTTTGTTGGCTCAGATGTGGAAAGTCTCCTTAAACATTAACACCAGACTCGTGAATCAGAGTCTTATTGGCTGGTTAACAAGCAGTGATGCTAAAATCTCCCCAAAAGAGCGAAGGTCGACTTATTCCTTCAACACTGGAGACGACATAGACGAGTTCTCAAAGCTTTATCAAAAAGTAATTATTCTGATTCTATTGCATCATTCAGGGTCACATTTATAGCAAAGAAGTATTTGTAAGGATAAAAACAAAAATGAATAATAAATAAAAGGCTTACCATGTTAAAGTCTAGGTTCCTGTCCACCCACTCGGTAGCAGCCTCGAATTCATCATACATCTCCATAATGTAGAGCGTGTCCAGTGCATCCACAATGGTGGCTCCTTTGAGACTACCTGTGGATAAATATGACAACAAAACATTTGAGAAAACTTCCTGTGGGGATACCTCTAGGATCAGAGCTGAAATAAACCAATAGCTTTATGATAAAGACCTCAGAGCCTTTGAGATATGGTCACTAATGCCCTGCCTGAGGGAAAATCCTGTGTAGAGAGCAAACAAACCACAGCTACAACAAATGAAAACCTCGCGAGTTAACACCCTCAAAGGGAAGCCAAGGTTAAGATGAACAGATCTTACACAGGCTAAGTCAGATTACTTCAGTATTTTAGTAGATTTCATATGATGTGAATCAGTTTATCGTGAACACAAATTCAGATCCACTAAACACTGGGACAATGAAAACTCAAATACCTGCAACATGTTTGCGCAATAAAATGTAGCCGTTTATAATAAAAACAAACCATGCAAATAATAATAATAATAATAACAATATTTTGTATAATAAAACAATGCAATTTTTATAATACTTGTTATTATTATTAAATTACAATACTATCGATGTTATTATAATAATAATAATAATTATTATTATTATTATTATTATTAGCAATATTAACATTTAAATTTTTTTATTTTACAAATAAAAATAATTTTAGTTCAATGTAAAATAATTGTATTGCTACTTCTATTATTATATTTTTTTTTTATTATTTCATTATTCAAATATATTTTAATAATTTTGTTTTAAATTATTATTAATTATTTATTTTAGATTAATATAATTTAAACACATTTTATTAATAAGTACAATAAAAAAAGAGAGACAGCAAGGTTTTTAATTTCTTCTGTTTTTAATTTAAAGCTGCAGGTTTCATTTTGTCCCCAAAATGCAGAGGCAAAAAATTTTTTCTACCTATCGGTCTCATTTCAGGTTAATTCACACAACCATTTTAGGCATCATTACCCAGCAAGATTCTCCAACAACATGATAAAAAGAAAAATTAAGGCAGCCAATTAAGGTGCTGATGTTGTGAAACACAAATTTGGGAAGGAAAAAAATTGCGTATGGAAGCATAGAACAACCCCTCAACAACACAAAAGACGTTCACTAGCAGTTTTTGCATTTGTACTGATTATGAACGCAGCAGGTTGGGCGACACTGCTTTTTGTACTTTAATAATTAAAGTCTGGCACTGCATGCAACCCTCTTCAAGAAATGCAAAGCTGCCAACCAGCTGTTTTCCTCATTTAACAGTCCTGACTTTGTTTAGTGATGTTGAAGACACAACATGACAGAATTATTGTGTGCAATATTTGTACGCAACATCTCAAACACCTCCTGCAGAGCATTCGCATGCCTTTGGCTTTGCGAAGGCCAAAGAAATGATGGAAAATCCCCAAGAGAGTACGACATGAAGAACGTTACTGCGAGAGTTAGACGGCCAGAAGCTTTGGAACAGGAAAAACATGAACACTTTCGCAATTCTGGCTTTAAAAAAAAATGTTGATCTCACTTCCAAGAATCTGTCGGGGAAAAAATACGAGATATGACTCCCGGTTGGGTTTAAAACATCTGGGAGATGCAAGCATGCCATTTCCACAATTAGAAGAGGACCACGACGAGGTGTCAAGAGAAACAGGAAAAGGAAACAGGATGTGCTAATCAAGCAAAACACCATAAAAATGAGCAAAGTGCCCTCCCTCCTGCTTCCTACAGCCACACTGTCCTTTAGGCAGAACAGTCCCCATGCTGTTAAATCGCCCCGTCATAAAAGTTCGAGTTTTATGATCTGATGTGGCTTTTTCAAGACTGCTTTGGTCTAAAGTCATTATTCTACCTTATAACCCTGCTCCCTAAACCAAAATCACAGGTTACTGTAGACTTCACTTTGTAAAAGCCAGGGAAACAGACAAAGACGAGAGCGTGTCATGCTAAACTACAATACTCGGGTACAAGGACATGAGCTTTGGAAATTCATGTAGCAAAGGTAAACAGTCTGAAGGCAGAGAATGAGGGTATGTGCGTATTAATATGGTCAACGTGCAGGTTATCAGATCCTAGCGGTCTGGCTTTTGTAAATGCCATGAGTGAAATAAATCAAGTTTCATGGGGTAATAATTAAAATTAAAATTAATAGTATATTAATTCATTGTATTTTTTGTGTATTTATAAAAACAAACAAATGTAATAAACATAAAAAATAGAAATATAGAAATTAATTAATAAAAATAATATGTATTACATTATATAATACAATAATACATGTATTATCTTATATAATAATACACAGGTAAATAAAAAAATTCCACATGCTGTACATTTACAGTTGTGCACATACATACTCCTTGCAGAATATGCAAAATGTTCATAATTTGAACAAAATAAGAGAGATCATGAAAATTGCATGTTATTTTTTTATTTAGTACTGTATACTCAAGACAAAATAATAACTGAATTTGTAAAAATGACCACCCCGGTCAAAAGTAAATATTAATACCGTGTGTCATTTCCTGGATGATCCACAATGTTTTTATGTTTTGTGAAAGTTGTTCATGAATCCCTTGTTGGTCCTGAACAGTTCAACTGCCTGTTGTTCTTCTGAAAAATCTTCCAGCTCCTGTACATTCTTTGGTTTTCCAGCATCTTCTGCATATCTGAACATATGCAGTTTTTGTAAGAAAAATATCCATATTCAAAACGTAATAATCACTTTAATGTAGGTTGTGCTCACTGTTGTACACTGGAAGCAGTTCCGGGCGAATGACGTATGGAGGTCGGCTTTGCGCATGCGCCGCTCAGAAGTAATTAGAAGCCTCACTAATTAGAAGTACAAAACGAGGATTTGATGATTTCGATATAAGCCAAGAGGAGACTGGTTTTCCTTTGCTAAAGTAAGGAAACTTTGCTTCCTTTGCTCCTGTTAACAAACGTTGGTTTTCACGAGACTCACTGGCGCATGTGCAGCGCTGACCTCAGAGGTCATCCGCCCGGAACTGCTTCCCTTTACAACAGTGAGCGCAAGCTACATTAAAGTGATTATTACGTTTTGAATATGGATATTTTTCTTACAAAAACACATCG